TTTGTCATGAGGCACAAAGGAGCAGCACATCTGAGGACAGAGTCCTAGAAGATGTCCACAATCCAGTACTACTCAACACATGTTATGGAATAACATGCTAACAGTTATCCTTGCAGTTTTCACTGTAGTTATTTTTGTACTTGTTTTTCTGGATGAAGATATTTTATGGCAGCAAAGTAAAAAAGTGTAATAAATTTTAGGCATTTGATAATAAATTAGGTTAAGTACTGTTTTGTTTTTCAGATCTCAAATCAATGTATTTTTTTTTTAGCTATTTCAGTTATACAAAACTTTCAGAACATTTTTTGCGGGGTCCAAACCTGATAAAACAAACGGCACATGCATGCAAAGCAGAAATATTTTCCTGCCTCCTCTGTAGCAGGTACATTTTATTTGTCTAAATCTCATAGCCCAGCATGAATCCTTAATAACATAATAATGAGATACTTACAGCTTAACAAGTTAGTTACAAATTGTTCCAAGTATCTTCAAACTAACAGAACAAATTTTCAGTAAGTTTGACAGCTGTTCTCAGGAGACACATTTAAGGCAACTACTTCAAAAATATTTTTTTATGTATAAAAACCTGTGTTTTTTTTTAGGTGCATCATTTTAAAGATGTTTCTTCTATTTTTCTACTATTTTAGCCATAAGTTTGTGTCCTAAAGGAGCAATTCCTTTTTTCTCCTTTGACGTCCTACAAGGGGGTGTTTCTGAGAACAGATCTAAGAGAGGAAACAGTTGAACTCACGGCGGTCGTTTGGAGAGAAGCTGCAGGATTCTCCATCTTTCGTCAGACACGGACCCTCAGGTTGACCAGAGACTTCTGTCCTTTTGCGTTGGAGACGTGACGGACTGGAGAAACGGGGACACGGGGACAGAAATCAGTACCGATCATTGGTTTTCTAAGGATAAGCTAATAAAAAAGGCACAGAGAGGAATTCATGTTTTTGTTTTGTGCATGGAAAAAAAACCGTACGATAAAAAACAAAATCTACTTAAAATTTTTTTTTTTTTTATCATTGGTGGGTATTGAGTCCTTAAATTAAACAAGAGTACTACTACGGCACATTATACGCCTGTCCACACACTATTATACAGCAATCTATAGCAATGGATCAGACAAATCATGACCTTGTACCACATTTGACCTTGATTTGTGACCTTAGAGCTGGAATGATGAAAAGTGTAAATCAGATTGTTGAGTAAAGGATGCAGATATTTTGCAAAGTACACACTTAAACTTGGAGGTTCATGCTCAATAATCCAGGTAAAAAAAACAACAAAGTTCAGTCAGGTCATCTGGACGGTTTCTTTTTTTGTTGAGATGTTTCCTCCTTCATCCAAAAGACTTCATCAGTCTGAGGAGCCACAAACAAACTGTGTCCAACAAGCAGCACACCCCCATACTGGACCAACCAGTTTAACCATCCTCTCTAAAACTCTCAGCACACTCCCACTATGGGAGCGTGCTGCTTGTGGGACACAGTTTGTTTGTGGCTCCTCAGATCGATGAAGTCGTTTGGATGAAGGAGGAAACGTCTCAACAAAAAAAAGAAACCGTCCAGATGACCTGACTGAACTTTGATGGACTTGTAAATTTGATTTGAAAGGGTTCAGGAGAATTCAGTTTGCAACAAGTCTTCAGGTGTTAATTCATATCTTGTTGTTTTTTTTGGTCAGCCTTTTTTATTATTCTAAATGTTTTTTTGTTCAATAAACAGCCCATTTCGAACCCATTTCATACTAAACATCTTACACTTTTAGATTTATTTAGCAAGAAGCTGTGCAGATTTCCTTCTTTTTGTCAGCCAGTCATTTGATCTTAATGAATTAATCTTAATTAATATCAAGTCAAACTGGTTCTTCTCATCCTGAACATTTCATTGCACTGTTGACCTTGTGTTAACCTGCACATGATTTATGTCATTTCCTTCAGTTTAATCTGAGCGTATGGGCTCCAGTTCATTGCTCTGTTATGAGTTTATGTGTCAGATTAATTTTTCACTCCTTCATGTAAATTTCTGGGCGGTGGGAATCACACAATGTGTCATAAATGCAGGCAAAAAAACACAAAAGCCTCGTAGCTTGCAACTAAAACAGGATTTACGTGAAATAAAAGTGTTACTTTGAATTCCATGGGAGAGAAGCAGTACCTGCTGGGTCGGACCCTCTCCCCTCCCTCCACTCCACTCTTCAGCCCTCTCGGGTGGGGGTGGGGGCTGACGGCCGTGCAGAAGGTGGCCTCCAGGAAACGGATGGGCAGCATCCTGTTCGCCGGTCGGTGAATCTGAGCTCTGCTGCTCTGGGTCAGAGCCGCCCGACTGCCCACGTAGTAATGAACCAGAGCTGGTAACGAGTCAAAGGCTTCGCCCTCCAGGCCGTACCGGACCTGGGTGTACTTCTCAGCGGACAGAACCACCGTCTTCCTGATGAGGAAATGAAGAGTTCTCTGCTCCCAGCGGCAGGTGAGGACGAAGTCGCCCTGACTGGACTGTGAGTCCCTGATGAGGAAATCTCCGTGGTTCAGAACCAGAGTCTCTGAAACCTGCAGAGACATTCAGCTCATTTTATGAACATATTGTCAAAAAGAAATGTGTCTACCACCAAAGCTTCACAGCACTTCATGAAACTGGGTTTATTTATCTAAAAAAAAACAGCAGAGATGTAGCTAATTTTAGGTTTGAGTCTGATTAAGTCCCTAATTCCACCTATAAAATTAAAGGCCTAAAATGAATGCACGTCACCCGCCACCTTTCATGCCAGAGGATCACACAAGCTCATCATATATTGACAAATGATGAATTTGCACTGAGTTATAACTATTTCTGGACTAAGGTCATAGCTGTGACAGATGTATTAAATTGGATTGTCTTCAAAACTTAACAGTTTTATTACTTTTGAAGAGTTTCCAGTTGTTTATTTGAGATTAACAGAAGGAAAAACATTACCATCTTTTGCCTCTGGTGGTTGGTGTCAAACATTACTGAACACGCATTTCTGAGCTCATTCAGTATAAACAAAAACAAAATTTATGATTTAAAATCTATTCATCAAAATGCTAGAAAAATACTATTTTTAGAGAAATTTTAATATGAACAATCCAGATAATTTAGCAGAAAACTACCAGTTTCGTGTAAATAAAGATAGGTGAAAATGTCCATTTAAATCAAGCAAAATAATTTGGACAGTTTGGTCAAAGGAAAAAGTAGGATTAAAAAAAAAAAAGTAGGATAATCACAAAAGTAGAAACAAAAATGTGGTTTGAGCAGGGTGCCCTCTAGAGGTCATCCAGCTACATTACATCGCAGCAAACCTGCATTTTTCTATTTTTTTATGCAAGTTATTCTTTAGATACAAATTCTACAAGTGCAAAATGAAAAAAAAAGAGCTGATTTTATTAAGTTCAATTTAATCAAACTATTTTCACAACCTTGAAACAGTTTGTGCTATTTTGTCTTCATGTAAATAAACATGACGTAAACATATTTCATCACTTTACATCACTTGGGGAGTGGTGGTGCAGAGGTTAGAAGATGGGCTGGTGATCAAAATGTGGGTGGAAAAGGTGGAACACCCACACCTCCCTCCACCCTCATTCGCCCCACTCTGGGCCCCGGAGCAAGGCCCTTAACCCCCACCATCTGCTCCCTAAAACAGGTCTCTCTTGAAAATGAGTTCTCGTGGCTCAATGAGACTACCTGGATAAATAACGGGTAAATAAATAATAAAAAATTAAACTAACTCACAAATTTTGTAATAAAGGGAATTTACAAAAAATAAATTAACAAATGTACTCAGACTAACTTCAACACTGTTTAAAAAAAAAGACCAACAGTCGAACCACCAAACTACTCTGTAATATAAAAAGTAAACTTTAAGTTTTTCTGGATCTTGACTGACATCAGCACCAGCCAGAGCCACAGATCCCCTCAGTCTTTGCAGGAAGTGACAGAAACCCTGACATCGAGCGCTGTGTGGTTGTTGTGGCTCCGGCAGTGGACTGACTGTAAACCTCTCAGAGCAGAAAACGTCTTCACTGCACGAAGCGAACGTTCTAAATCTGACAAGCTACAGCAGCCTTTAACACGCGACATCTTTCAGGTCCATGTTCGAATGATGTCAGGGACAACAATAATCTGGTTTGTGTGATCATCAGTTCTGAGCCAGTCTGGTGGTTCTGTTAGAAGAGGGCAGCCAGCTTTATTTAGTTTACATTTTAATGCAAATATGAACCATTAATGATACGGGGGTCCCTCAAAATGCTCGTGGAAAAGCACCTGAAATGTTTCCTCCACTGCATCACGTAAAGCTTGTTGGCGACGATGTAATTTCCTCATTTACACCCAGTTTTCGATACACTGGTTCTTTTCAAACACCACTCGAAACCATCGGGTCAGCTGTGGTTATTGCTGGTTTGCTAACTAATTTACAGCCATGTGGAAAATAAGAATCTTTTAATCAGAAGGGTTTACTTTGCTCTTGTCAAGAAGTTAAAATGAAGTTATTAAACCTTTAATTAACAAAACCCAACATTTTATTCTGTCGTTATTTTTTAATTAACAAGAATAAAGCCAACATGCAGAAGCAGTGACTAAAGAACAAAGTCCACCCTTATTGTTTCTATAGAAAATCAGTACAGTTGATCAGCAGCCAGACGCTGCTGATCAACTGTACTGATTATCTGCGTGTCAGCAAGTGTGATGTCCTACATCAAAAACAGGAAGACCTCAAGCTGTCTGCCAAGCACGGTGATGAAGGGGCCATGATGTGGGCTTGTGCTGCAGCCACAGAACCAGAACCAGAACCTGGTGCTGCAGCGGTTCGGTCCAAGTCCAGACCTCAGCCGCATTAGGTGAGACTTGAAGAGCTGTGCAGAAACCAGCGGCTGCAAACTCAGAGAACTGAAGACCGACCGGAAAAATGATGAACGCTGGAGGGTTTTATTCATCTGTCCTTCTGTCCATTCATCTGTTCATCTGTCCGTCCATCTATCTGTCCATTCATCTGTCCGTCCATCTATCTGTCCATCCAACCATCCATCCATCCATCCGTCTATCTATCCATCTGTCCATCCATCCATCCACACACCCATCCATCCAGCCATCTGCTCCTGTCATCTTTTAGCTACAGTTCATCTGTATTCTGTATTAGATAGCTGTATTCAACTGTCCATCTGTCCATCCACCCATTCATCTATCCAACCATTCATATGTCTGTCCATCCCATCCATCCATCCATCCATCCATCCATCCATCCATCCATCCATCCATCCATTTGTCCATCCATTCATCCATCTATCATATCCATTCATCCATCCAATCATCTGTCCATCCATCCTTCCATCCATACATCTGT